CAAGGTGGAAAGACTGCTTGAGCATGGGAGTTGAAGACCAACCTGGGCAACATGGTGAGACCCTGTCTCTACAAAAATAAATATTAAGCCAGCTGCAGTGGCTCACGCCTGTAATTCCAATACTTTGGGAGGTCGAGGCAGGCAGATTACGAGGTGAGGAGTTCGAGACCAGTCTGTCCAACATAGTGAAACTCTGTCTCTACTGAAAATACAAAAAGTTAGCCGGGTGTGGTGGTGTGTAATCCCAGCTACTCGGAAGGCTGAGGCAGGAGAATCGCGTGAACCCAGGAGGCGGAGGTTACAGTGAGCCAACATTGTGCCACTGCACTCCAGCCTGGGTGACAGAACGAGACTCCATCTCAAAATAATAAATAAATAAATAAATAGATATTAAAAAATTAACTGGGCATGGTGGCATGCACCTGTAGTCTCAGCTACCTGGGAAGCTGGGGTGGGAGGTTCACTTGAGCCTGGAAGGTTGAGGCTGCAGTGAGCTGTGATTGCAACACTGCATTCTAGTCTGGATGACAGAGCCAGATTCTGTCTCTAAAAAAAAAAAAAAAAAAGCATAAATAAAATATCTTTGTCTTACCCCTTTCCTCCTTTCCTTGATTTCTCAGGTGAGTAAGAAACAATGTCTATCTCATAAAAGGGTATTCGAGAGACTAGAAGTGTAAGCTTTGGATCTCATTTTACAATGCTAGAATAACCTTATAAGGAGAACATAAATCACTTACCAATTACATTTACGTATATAGATGAAAAACTCTATACAAATATGAAAAAAATGGGTCCATCAATTTATATAAACAAGAATAGTATCTCATAATCAAGTAGGATTTATTCCAGGGATGCAAGCATGGTTCAATAACAGAAAATCTATGAATATGAATTTTATAAAATAAATTAAATTATAAAAACTATAAGCTTGTCTTTATGGAGTAAGACATCTTTGCAATATCTGAGTTTCCTTTCTCTTCCTCAAACACACCAGTTAAATTCTTCTTTTACGGTCTATTCACTGATCCTACAATCTTTTTAAACTGACTGAAAAGACCCTTTTCACTGACCTGTACCTGGAACTTACCCGCATCTCCTAATATCTATAAGGCTAACTCCTGCAAATCCTTCATGTCCTTGCACCAATAAAATCTCAGTGAGACCTACCCTGACCACTCTATTTAAAATCTAACTCTACCCTTTTCCTGGGACCCCCCTCAAAGTCAGGGGAACATAAACACAGGGGCCTTAACTTTTCACCATGTACAAGTTCATAGATTGAAATGTATTCAATGAGCAAGTATCACTTTTGTATTCAAATTATTTTTAGAAGTATAAAAATCATGGAGCCTATAGAATCTGTATATATTGGTGAGATTGTGCAGCAAATAAAAGGCAACTCATATACTTTATACAAAACAAATATCATTAAATATTTTGGTTTTGGATTATTTAAGTAGCTATATAGACTAATGCTGAGCATAGTACCTGACACACTTAAAATGTTTTAGAGACATAGTCTGCTATTATATTAAACATTATAATAAAAAAGCAACTTAAAAACTTAGTGGTTATAATCAGTTCACAGAGGTAGGGAGTGCATTTCTCTGTCAAAAAAATGACAGCTGTGTTGGTATTTTTACTTGCCAGGGCCATTTAGGCTTTATCTTCAAAGCGCAGAAACAGCAAAATTCAATCATTTTCTGCATTGTCTTAATTGCTTTACTATCTTAATCAATTAGTTAAAAAATTGATTTGATTACTTTGGCATTTGTCAATTCAGTTAACCCATCCTCTACCTATTGAGACATCAGAGAACCTACTTTCCTTGCATCTACCTCTCAGCTCTTTATCAGTAGTATGAATAGAACAGAATATTCAGTGGATATTTTGGGCTTGTGCAGACTTTGGTTTCATAAAAATTTGGAGACCATATTTCAAACAACATTTGGCACGGAGGACATTAGAATTAAAAATTGTATTACAATGCAAAAAAAAGATCCTCACAATATACTCTACTGCACGTATAGCAATATAAGCAAATGAATTAATGTAATCTTAGGATGTGAATTGTTTTCAATTTTTTTTTTTTTT